AGTCAGTTTCTTGTGCTCGCTCACAGAATGGACGACATTACTATGGAAATATCTAGGAATTTCATCGACTGGCCTAAAATAGGACTCAAAGTGGGCAAAATCACGGGTGCATAAATTGCGCTGACCGCTAACTTTGCGCTGGCATAATTCCAAACTTCGTAATTTTAGCGTCGTTGCCTACTCAAAAATTATCTGTAATTTCGTTAGAAATTTTCTTTTTTGGTGTGGTGGTGGGTGTATATTTTGGACCCTGAGATTAATTTCAGGTCGGGCGTCAGTGCTGTATGACCCTTGTGGCTTATATGCTTACTTGTGATTATAATTATTTATGTGGAAAATATATAGTATATTTTCTGAAAATAGTGTATTTGTATGCAAATTAATAAAATATATTGTATTTAATAAAAATTATATTATAAAAAATGAGAAGCTTGGCACCTGCGCGGTCAAGCAGGGAAGAGTCGCCATGTGTTTTTCAATGAGCCAAGAAAACATTAGTGAAAATAAGAATTTTCGTCGCTCTAGAGGTTATATTGGGCTGACACCTCTCAAATAGGATCCGAAATTGTTGGATGTGCATTTCTGCATAATTTCAGCATTAACCCGATGTACAGGACAGCTCCAGGAGCCTCAGATAAGCTATCTAAATTATGTTTGTAATTCTGGCCACTATTATCATCATAAATTTAGTTAGAGGCAGGTTTCTGAGTATTATACACAGTAATCTCCAGACAAATTGGTGTTATGATTATAAATTCTCCTTCTGTTATATAAATGTGTTTACCTGGAGTTTACCTGGAGAGAGTTCCGGGGGTCAACGCCCCCGCGGCCCGGTCTGTGACCAGGCCTCCTGGTGGATCAGAGCCTGATCAACCAGGCTGTTACTGCTAGCTGCACGCAAACCAACGTACGAGCCACAGCCCGGCTGGTCAGGAACCGACTTTAGGTGCTTGTCCAGTGCCAGCCTGAAGACTGCCAGGGGTCTGTTGGTAATCCCCCTTATGTATGCTGGGAGGCAGTTGAACAGTCTCGGGCCTCTGACACTTATTGTATGGTCTCTTAACGTGCTAGTGATAACCCTGCTTTTCATTGGGGGGGGGGATGTTGCATCGTCTGCCAAGTCTTTTGCTTTCGTAGTGAGCGATTTTCGTGTGCAAGTTCGGTACTAGTCCCTCTAGGATTTTCCAGGTGTATATAATCATGTATCTCTCCCGCCTGCGTTCCAGGGAATACAGGTTCAGGAACCCCAAGCGCTCCCAGTAATTGAGGAGTTTTATCTCCGTTATGCGCGCCATGAAGTATATGTGTATATGTAATCATTTATTAATTTTAATATACAGTCCACAAAAATTATAATTTTACCAGAATTCCTGGTGTGTATGTACATTTCATTTGCAATTAACATAGGTTTAGAGCAACTTGTGGAGAGATAGATGGTAGGTATCGAAAGGGGACATTTTTGCGACCTAGGTGTCCTAAAATTCCTACTTGTCTCTTAACTTTGATAAATAATAATTATCTTTGTTACCATTTACTTGTATGTATGTAATGAGATTCATCCAGGTAAATGTAATTTTCTATAATTTATGACATTGGGGTGTGCTTCTGGGTATTCTTCTTATAATATTTGGGTGTGTCACAATACGACAGAAAATGCCTCTTCAATGCTCTGATATTCAGAAATATTCAATAAAATCATATCTTTCCTAGCTTGCTTGTGCTCACTGTTTGTCAAAACAGTGTAGTTGGTTGCCATGGCAACATTTTAGAAGTATCTTAAGTATACATGTATTTTGTTTCATGGAACGACCACATTCCAGCACAGTGTCAGCTGCTGGAAGAAATGTGTCACGGCTTCTGGCACCTCTAGGTGCAGGGAGCTCCACAAGCACACGGGTATCGTCTCTCCCAGTGCCCACAAGATGGGTATGAAGGAGGGCATAATAAAGATATTAAACTAACCGCTACCAGTTATATCCAAGATAAAACGCAAGTAGTTTTGAAAAAGAGGCAAATAGAAGTGTGCTCAGTGGAAACCCTGTCAGCTGTAGAGCTACCATGAATGCCACCTCAGACGGAGTGTATTCGCGAGACGCGTTGTTCTAGTATCTGTCACTGCGACAGCACCTACATCAGCTCTCGCAAGAAAACTCGTTTGAGGTAACAAGCATTGTGCTGCCAGGAAATCTTCACATGTGACCGCAGGTTAGTTGACTAAAGTTGTGAACGAAGCTGTATCAACTGAGAGTGGAACAATGTCCACCTTTGACCCTTTGTGGGTTTATCACTGAGTTATGTATTCATATTAAAAACAAATTTAGAAAATAAGTATTATTGATAATGTCTTTAAAAATATAAATTATTGATAGTCACTTAAAATTATTATTGATGTCACTTAAATTATTAAATACATTATTGTTAACTGGTGTCGGAATATTAATTACTTTATTTTACAGCAAATCTACTACAAGGCGCAACAGCAGCGGCAACAACAGTTAAAACGCTGTGAACATCCACTAAAACAAGGGTGGGGAACATCCGTCCCGTGAACCGTATAAAACTCGTGAAATCATTTGGTCTCGCACTACAAAGGCAACTGCAGGCAGGTCCAAATTAAATGTAAGAATTTTTTTGATAAATTTATATTACCCTTTCCCCATACCGATTTACACTGTATAATGAAAAAAAACGGAGCTTAAAATCCAAATAGGTATGCAGATACCTTTTAGCTTTTATTCTTATAAATTTTAGAAAAATTTGGGCACTTTCGAAGAATATGCTGATATTTAACATGCGAGTAATTTTGAAATATTTCATAAAATCTGATCGGTCTTTTTCTGATTTTGAAGCAGTCTCCCATCCATTGTCTTCATTTTCCATGCAGAATATCACTGACATCTCCAATTTCTTACTCTCATCATTACTCTCGCACAAATTGTCAAAATTCCTTCTCCGACAGACAAGTCGCAACAAATCTATTCTTCAGCGGCCATTTTGACTATTTATACCGACAAAAACTACAGATAGATTTTTCAATAGATGTCAGTAAAAGTACTATTTTTATATTTTAGTTAAATATGTACCAGTTGGTTTAATACACCGACCCAGACTCAGAGGGCAGTCAGTGCCAGGCAGACTGGCAGTGTACAGTCAGTGCCAGGCAGGCTGGCAGTGTACAGTGCCAGGCAGGCTGGCAGTGTACAGTGCCAGGCAGGCTGGCAGTGTACAGTGCCAGGCAGGCTGGCAGTGTACAGTGCCAGGCAGGCTGGCAGTGTACAGTGCCAGGCAGGCTGGCAGTGTACAGTGCCAGGCAGGCTGGCAGTGTACAGTCAGTGCCAGGCAGGCTGGCAGTGTACAGTCAGTGCCAGGCAGGCTGGCAGTGTACAGTCAGTGCCAGGCAGGCTGGCAGTGTACAGTCAGTGCCAGGCAGGCTGGCAGTGTACAGTCAGTGCCAGGCAGGCTGGCAGTGTACAGTCAGTGCCAGGCAGGCTGGCAGTGTACAGTCAGTGCCAGGCAGGCTGGCAGTGTACAGTCAGTGCCAGGCAGGCTGGCAGTGTACAGTCAGTGCCAGGCAGGCTGGCAGTGTACAGTCAGTGCCAGGCAGGCTGGCAGTGTACAGTCAGTGCCAGGCAGGCTGGCAGTGTACAGTCAGTGCCAGGCAGGCTGGCAGTGTAGTCAGTGCCAGGCAGGCTGGCAGTGTACAGTCAGTGCCAGGCAGGCTGGCAGTGTACACGTTACGAAAGTGTTAACACTGGATAGTTATTAAAATTTAAGTGTTGAGACATCCTACAAAATGGCGACTACAATAAAAAGTCGATCCAGAGTGTCGATCTTTACAAGAGAAATGGACAAATGATTATTTTTATTAGTCAAAAACAAACCTGTGTGCCAAGTTTGTGGAGATGCATTAGCAGTAATGAAAAATGCACATCTGCATCATCATTACAGCGCAAGACTTGCTAAACTCAATGAACAGGGAGGCCAAATGCGTCTGAATAAAATCAATGATCTTCAGCGGAATTTGGAATTACAAGCCGTTTTCACTAGGCCTCGTTTTGACAGAACGTTATATATTGAGCAAATTAATCATAAATAAGCTAAGGCCCCAGGTTGAGGGAGAGAGTAAGAGTGCATGGTGGCTGCTGCTGAGTTGTTAGCACCAGATAAAGTAGAATTGTTTCAGTGCTAGTTTGTCTCTGAGAACCGTCTAAGATTTAGCAAAAAAAAAAAAAAAAAAAAAAAAAAAAAAAAAAAAAAAAAAAAAAAAAAAAAAAAAAAAAAAACTGAAGAATTTTACAGATATCCAATTTTTCTGTCTTGTGATGAGACAACGGTCATAAATACTGCCCAACTGGCCGTTTTCGTTAGTAGGATAACGGCAGTTTGACACGCGAGAGGAACTGCTCTCAGTGGAAGCCATGTATGGCACTACAAGAGGTGAGGACTTGTTTGAGCAGTATTAATAGTGGAGTCAGTAAAAGACTACTACTACCTCTTGTCCCGTCCCTGTCTGCTGGCCTTTATATACTGCCCCCATCTCTCCTCTGTTAGTGTGACTTTGCAAATGGCGCAAGTTGGACCGCAACGCTGTTGTAAGCACCTCTCTGCTACGTGTGGGTTGTGTGTTTTGTTTTATTGAAAAAAAAAAGCTTACTTTTGAAAAGTTACGTGGCATTACTACAGATGGAGCTCAGGCTATGGTTGCCTCGCGAAAAGGGTTAATTACATTTGTAAAATAGAACTGAATCGTCTCTCAGTTTCATACACCAAGAAAGTCTCTGCGCATAGTCGTTGTGTCTCAACAATGTCTAAAGAAGAGGACTTAAACGCCAGTATAAGGAGGTAGTGAATGATACTGAGTACGGTGATATTTATCACCGTGAAGTGCGGTGTTTGTGTCGCGGAAACATGCTCATGAGGTTTTACCAGCTGCGGAATGAAGTCAAGCAGTTTCAAGGAAATGAAGGGAAAACCTCTCAGGAACTCAATGATTGCAAGTGGCTGTGTGATGCAGCGTTCAGGGTGGATTTTACCAAGTTCCTCTCAGCGCTGAACATCAAACTACAGGGCCCCTTCCAGCTTCTCAGCTCCCTGTTATCGAAAGTGAAATCATTTAAAGCTAAATTAAGGCTGTGGAAAGTGCAACTCTTGAAGGAATAACAAGGTGAATTTCCTTAATCTGGAAGAATAAAAACACTAATTTTGGCGAGTGTGCAAAACTAGTTGAGGTATTTAATTTAAGATTCAATGAAGCGAGACGTGAAAAGTAAACAAATGGAATTGAACATCTTTTCTACACCGCTCTATGTGGAACTAATTAATGTGCCTCATAACTTATAACAAGAAGTCGTTCAGTTGCAAAGCGATGACCTGAAAGCTAGCTTCAACAACCTCCCACTACTCGAGTTCTACAAACGTTACATAATCAATGATGAATTTTCTCACTTTGAGGCGACATGCAATGAAATATGCATGTGTTTGAAAGAACAATGCCGTGATCAGTTCTTTTCAAAACTTACATCGCAAAGAGTTGACTGTGATTCAGACTGTTCGACGCCACCCTGGAAAAACAATTCCTAATAGCAACATCAGTACTAGTTAACATCACCCCTCTCACCAAAGAGAAGCAGTTCCAGCCATCACATTATGCGAGTTAATTAAACGTTTAACTAAATATAGCAGGCTAATTTTTATGTTGATAATTTTGTATGGCTCGTGATTGATGTTATAAACATCCAAATGGACTTTGGCAGAAAAATAAAAAGGTCCCCCCACCCCTGCATCTCGGTATGCTGTTCACCATGTCTCGTGGTAAGAAATACCTTACTCCCATCGAATTCTGCATCTCCTCTTTCCAAGTGACAATTCTAACACGGATGTAAGTGGATCTGAGGAGGATTTCTATGGTTCTGAACAATTTGTGACCGAAAGCATTTCTAAGAACACTGAAAAATAGTGCTGCAAACCCTGACGATCCTCAACCTTCCACCTCTGCTGCTGGTCAGTCTCTTACATCCAGCTGTACCAAGAAAATATCTTTGCACGGCCAGGCTTCCTATGAGAGTAATGGCGACGATAGTGCCATGGTCTTTTGATTTTATTGCCTTTTATGCCCATTCAAGTAGCGATAGTGAAATATTGGAAAGTAAAACATTGGAGGATACCAAGAAGTTATAAGGTATCTCGGGAGATGTAGCGAGAACAATGATGGAACCCTAACTTGGTAAGGGGCATACATTATATACTGATAACTGGTACACAAGCCCCTTACTCAGTGATTTCTTGCAGGTGAACCTGACAGACGTGTGGGGTACAGTGCGTGCAAATCAAACATGCCCAGGTTCAACGCAGGCAATCGTAGTAGTGAGGTGCAGATGTTTGTTGCCAGTGATATGGCATTACAGTGGCATGGCGAACGAGATGTCACGATACATCAATTCAAAACAACGAAATAACAGATAGTGGAAGGGAAAATATTGAGACTAATGAACCCATTTTGAACCCTAGGGCTGTAAGTGAACTACACCCTCAATATGCGCTCAATGGACAAATATGACATGCAGATTGGGTTTGCTGCACGTCACATTTGTCCACGAGTTAAGAGTGGTACATTAAACTTTTTCCATCTAGTGAACACTTCCATGCTCAATGTTTATAAGTACAAGAAGAAACCAGAAAAACTACCATATAGAGAATACTGTTTGCCATCAGACAAGTACCAGGTAACACCAGCGATGCAAAACAGTACACAAACTGATCACCAAATACCCTCTCGTTTGAGGCATGGCGATTACTTATACAACTGCCTCCTTATAAGAAATTTGCTCAGAGCTGTTTTGTCTGTGTACATACAACAAAACGCCCACAAAAACGAGAGTAATGTAAAATAGCATTGTATAACATCATGTTTTATATGAGGAGTGTAAAGCAGCATTGTATAACACCATGTTTCAAAGACTTCCACAGACTGCATCAGTTCTAGGACCATGTCCAGTGACTACATATATACATGGAATTATAAAAAGATGGAGCCAACGCATGGTGCACCGCAATTACAACTCAGGTCCATCTGTATATTACACAACATTAATAATAAACAACAATTTTACTTGTTTGTGTAAACAAGTTTTGTAAATACAATGACACTGCGGGTATCGTCTTGCATACAAAGAGTGGATATATTTACATTATACTGGTCTTCCAGCCCATAAAACAGGAAAATATCACGAAATAAAAATGTCAATAATATTAAGGAGAGAACAGCAGTCTCCGACATTGCCGTCAGTTATTCACCTCTGTCAACCTGACGCCACTATCTCGGTAAGTACTGATCCCAATAAATTGTTTTATAACACTCACATTAGCAGCACTAGTAGTGGTGACATCAACACTAGTGGTGGTAGTAGTAGTGGTGGTGGTGGTGGTAGTAGTAGTGGTGGTGGTAGTAGTAGTAGTGGTGGTGGTGGTGGTGGTGGTGGCAGTAGTGGTGGTGGCGGCAGTAGTCGTGGTGGTGCCAGCAACAGCACTAGTGTTAGTAGCAGCAGCTTAGTCATAACTACGACCACAACTCGGGGAAGAACCAGCGAGCCAACATTACTGTTCATCGACGCACGACTGCTCACTCCACACGTCTGTGTCAGTAATGAACCTCGTTAATACGACCTTCCACACAGTGAACCTTCCTTATAACGCACTACGAGCGGCAAACATTAGTGTCCCTTATATCCGAGAAATGCTGAAATATGGCAAAAAGATTTCTTATACTGATATTTTAGTGACTATAATCCATATAACTAGTTGCATTTCTATACACCATACACTACATTTTCCCTGTACACATACATCAAGCATACACAGTGGTGGCTCGTGTTAAAGCACTGTGGAACTGCAGCACCCCTTAATTTCACTATATTATCGATAACATTCAATATAATAAGCTTTTTCTTTAATTCTTTCTTTATTCTTGTACATTATACAATCCTTAAGGTTAATGTCAGTAGCCATCCCCTAGTACATGAAAAAATTACAAAAAATCCTTGCATGGAACTGTGCACTTCACAGTTCAAGCAACTCAGTGTTTGGTTGTTGTGCGCATCATGTCCGAGATAAGGCACTGCACGCTAGGTAGAGAGAGCACTGTGTGATGTAGTGCCGACCCTGTTGTGCTTCTGTAGGGTACCCTTTTTTTTTTTTTTTTTTTTTTTTTTACTCAGCGATGTGTGTTATGCTTAAAAAAAACATGCACCATGTTCTTGAATTAGATGATTATCATGCTTCCAGCTATTTTATTTAATAAGTTTCTTCAGTTCTTTTATAGAAAATTTAAATGATTTAATCATGGCCTCTTTGCATCCCCAAGAAATAAGTTCTGTGAATAAGTGAACTTCACCAGCTTAAGTTTTCACAGTTCTCTCCATGAGAAAGTTACAGTTAAGAAAAGAGGCCGTTCAACACCAGATTAAAACAATGGCTAAAAATTTTCTGAAGCAGCTCCTCCACTAATTTTAGCTACGACCCGCTACTGAGTATACACCTAATATACACGAAATAAAGCAGATTAAAAGTACAATCAGACCAAATTCCACCATTAATTCTAAAGTCCATTACATCCAATACTTATTGCATCTAAAAAAAAAATCTAGCCACACCACAAATGAGCACTTCTGGGTGGTGGGCTCTAGTTCTTGGCCCCTGCCTTGCAACCAACAGTTCATCCTTAGTATCCTGGACACTAATTTATAGAGACAAGAGCTGTGAAAGTTCGACAAGTAGTGTTCTGCTACCCCAGGGTGATACCTTACAAGATGTATACGGTAGTGCCGTGGTATTCTAGGGTGATACCCTCCAACACCTATACAGCAGTGTCCTGGTATCACTGGGTAATATCTTCCAAGAAGTATCATGGATACCAGAAACCTTGGATAGAAGTGAACACTATATTTAAGTGGTTCTTCATGTACATACATAGCTATGGTAGATCAAATGAGATATTAGGCACAATAATTTGATTAAAGTTGGTAGAATTACCGACAATATGTAAAGTAAAAAGACAAGTACAACTAATGTGACATTTTATTGTAAAAACGTTTCGCTCTCCACGAGCTTCATCAAGCCAGTTGCCACAATAAAAGGTCACATTAGTTGCACTTGTGACCTTTTACTTTACACAATATTAAGAGAATTAACACTTCCTCATTGATAGGAAACACTTCACAGCTTCTCAGACTTTGAACACAGTCCCCCATAGGCCCTTTTCTGACCCCCTAGACCCCTCCCTGACCACCTACACTCTCCCTCGTGGACCCTCCCTGACCACCGACACTCTCCCTCGGACCCTCCCTGACCACCAACACTCCCCCCTCGGACCCCTCCCTGACCACCTACACTCCCAATTGGACCCCTCCATGACCACCTACACGTTCCCCTGGATCCCTCCCTGACCACCTAGACCCCCCCTAACCACCTACACTCCCCCCATGAATCCCTCCTGACCATCTACACAACCCCTGGACCCCTATTTGACTACCTACACTCCCTGTGGACCCCTTCTTGACCACCTACACACCCCCCTGGACCCCTCCTGACCACCTACTATCCCCTTGGACTACTACCTGACCCTTTCTGACCCTCTAGACCCCTCCCTGACCACTACACTCTCCCTCGGACCCCTCCCTGACCACCTACACTCTCCCTCGGACCCTCCCTGACCACCTACACTCCCCTCTTGACCCCTTCCTGACCACCTACACTCTCCCCCTAGACCCCTTCCTGACCACCTACACTCTTCCCCCTAGACCCCTCCCTGACAACCTACACTTCCCCTAGACCACTCCCTGACCACATACACTCTCCTGGACCCATCCCTGACTACCTACACTCCTCCCTGGACCCCTTCCTGACTACCTACACTCCCCCATGGATCCCTCCCTGACCACCTCACTCCCCTCTTGACCCATTCCTGACCACCTACACTCTCCCCCCAGACCCTCCCTGACCACCTACACTCTCCCCCTAGACCCCTCCCTGACCACCTACACTCTTCCCCCTAGGACCCTCCTGACTACCTACACTTCCCCCCTGGACCCTCCCTGACCACCTACTCTCCCCTCTTGACCCTTCCTGACCACCTACACTCTCCTCCCTAAACCCTCCCTGACCTCCTACACTCTCCCCCTAGACCCCTCCCTGACCTACACTTTTCCCCCTAGACCCCTCCTGACCACCTACACTCTTCCCTGTAGACCCTTCCTGTCCACCTACACTCCCCCTAGACCCCTCCCTGTCCACCTACACTCTCCCCTTAGACCCCTCCCTGACCACCTACACTCTTCCCTGTGACCCCTTCCTGACCACCTACACTAACCCCCTAGATACCTCCCTGACCACCTACACTCTCCCCCTAGACCCTCCCTGTCCACCTACACTCCCCCCTAGACCCCTCCCTGTCCACCTACACTCTCCCCCTTAGACCCTCCCTGACCACCTACTCTCCCCCTCCCTGACGACCTACACTTTCCCTTCTGGACCCCTCCGTTTTACCACCTACACTCTCCCCTGGACCCCTTCCTGACCACCTACACACTCCCCCCTGACAACCTCACTCCCCCCCTGGAACACCCTCCCTGACCACATACAACTCTCCCTGGTACCCTCCCTGACCACCTACACTCTCCCCTCTAGACCTCTTTTACATCTACACTCCCCCACTGGACCCCTTCCTGACCACCTACATTCCCCCTGGACACCTCTGACCACCTTCGCTCTCCCCTGGACCCCTCCCTGACCAACCTACTCTCTCCCCTGGACCCTTCCCTGACCACTACACTCTCCCCCCTGGACCCTCTACCCGACCACCTACACTCTCCCCCTGGACCTCTACCGACCACCTACACTCTCCCCCCTGGACCCATCCCTGACCACCTACACTCTCCCCCTGGACCCTTCCCTGACCCCCCTACACTCTCCCCCTGGACCTCTACCCGACCACCTACACTCTCCCCCCCCTGGACAACCCTCCCTGACCACCTACTCTCCCCCTTAGACCCCTCCCTGACCACCTACACTCCCCTGGGACCTCTCCTGACCCCTACACTACCCCAGACTACCTACACTCGCCCCTGGACCCCAACCTGACCACCTACACTCCCCCTGGACCCTTCCTGACCACCTACACTCCCCCCTGGACCCTTCCTGACCCCTACACTCCCCCCTGGACCCCTTCCTGACCACTACACTCCCCCACTGGACCCTTCCTGACCAACTAAACTCTCCCTGGACCCCTCCCTGACCACCTACACTCTCCCCCTGGACCTCTCCCTGACCACCTACACTCCCCCTGGAACCCCTCCCTGACCACCTACACTCCCCCCCTGATACCCCTCCCTGACCACTCTACACTCTCCCCCCTTGACCCCTCCTGACCACCTACACTCTCCCCTTGGACATCTCCTGACCACCTACACTCCCCACTAGACCCCTACCAGTCCACCTACACTCCCCCCCTAGACCCCTCCCTGTCCACTTACACTCCCCCAAGACCCTCCCTGACCACCTACTCTCCCCTCCTGACCACCTACACTCTCCCCACTGGACACCTCCCTGACCACCTACTCTCCCCCTTGGACCCCTCCACTGACCACCTACTCTCCCCCTTGGACACCTCCCTGACCACCTACTCTCCCCCTTGGACCTCCTCCCTGACCACCTACACTACCCCCGGACTACCTCACTCCCCCCTGGACCCCTTCCTGACCCCATACACCTCCCCCCACTGGACCCCTGCCTGACCACCTAACTCTCCCCCTAGACCCCTTCCTTGACCACCTAAACTCTCCCCCTAGACCCCTCCCTGTCCACCTACACTCTCCCCTAGACCCTCCCTAACCACCTACTCTCCCCCTCCCTGGACCCCTCCCTGACCACTACACTCTCCTCTGGACCCCTCCCTTACCACCTACACTCTCCCCCTAGACCCCTCCCTGTCAACCTACACCCCTCCCTGCCACCTACACTCTCCCCTCTAGACCCCTCCCTGTCCACCTACACTCTCCCCTCTAGACCCCTCCCTGACACCTACACTCTCCCCACTAGACCCCTCCCCGTCCACCTACACTCTCCTCCCTAGACCCTCCTGACACCACCTACTCTCCCCTCCCTGGACCCCTCCCTTACCACCTACACTCTCCCCTGGACCCCTTCCTGACCACCTACACTCTCCCCTGGACCCCTCCCTGACTACCTACACTCCTCGCTGGACCCTTCCCTTACTACCTGCACTCTCCTCTGGACCCTCATGCCACCTACCACTCTCCCCCTGGACCCCTCCCTTACCACCTACACTCTCCCCTCTGGACCTCTTCCTTACCACCTACACCTCTCCCCCTGGACAACTCCCTGACCACTACTTTCTGCCCTGTACCCCTCCCTGACTACCTACTCTCTCCCCACCTGGACCCCTCCCTGACCACTACACTCTCCCCCTGGACCCCTCCCTGACCACCTACCCTCCCCTCCTGGACCCTCACTGACACATACCCTCTCCCTGGACCCCTCCCTGACTACTACACTCCCCGTGGATCCCCTCCCTGACCACCTACAGTCCCCTCTTGACCCTTCCTGACCACCTACACTC